ATGTAAAAGAAGTGAGAAGGACGAAATATACGTATCTCTTAGAAAAAATTCAACTGTCTCTTTTCAGTACCCAAAAATTTCGTTTTGCTACTTTGGTGTTACTTTTGTTCGGCTTTTTTATTTCGCACTTTTCTATGTGATCGTTTATCTCAAGTGGTATAAGGGAAAACTTTTATATATAAATAAAATCACCAAAGTTTTTATAATTTCTCTAGATTTCTTAACCTTCCACTGAGAACTTTTACCTTAAGAATTTATAAGCCAGAAGACCCGATTTTGCATTTTTATCTACTTTGTCAGCGAAATAAAACTTGTAATACAGTTCCATAAGATCTCTAAACCACTTAGCAAATATACAACAATTAATTAAGCAAAATGAAAAAACTGATAAAATATTGGATTCATCAAATTTCAACTTTACAATGATAATAAAAAGGTTAGTTTAAAAAAATTTTTTTCACTTTAAATAACGTCAACAACATTAATTATGTGAGTTTTTTGTCATTCAAAAAAATTTTCAATTTTTTTTTTATTCAAACTTCTATTCCAATTATGGAATTATTTAAGAATAAAAACTGTTGCATATTTTTGAATTTATAATCGCTATACATCTGTTTTTCCCTTTTTTGCTTCAATTTTTCTTTATTTACCTAATCTATAAAATTTTTTAATTATGCAATTGTTTCTCTGAACACTATGTATAGTGGGGGCAGAAATAATAAAACCGCTCGACCATATTAAAAAAATTAAATATAATATGACAAATTTTCAATTCTTTAATGACAATTTGCTGGGAAGACACATTTATTGTAACCGACTTTACTGTGCTATAGACACCAAACTTCAAAGAAAATTTTTTGATTTCAAGTCGCTAGTCAATAGTGGATCTTTCGTGTTATAAATCATCAAAACAAGAAGTGCTAAATGTCTTTTGTTGAGTTCCTGCTCAACGGTTTTTTGGTGTTTCATGTTCACTGCTTTTAACTTTCCCTGCTCAACATCTTGCTCTACATAACTAATTCACACTGCGCTACTCTTCTGCTGAATTTTGCCAAATATTTATCTGCAGCAGAAAAATCAGTGGTTATCCGATTAAGGCGCAATGAGTCTACATTTTGAGAAAACACTAAGAAATTAGGCGTTTCAGAAACAGTTTGTCAGCAAGGTGTTCATAAAAGTATACGCCTGAGTAAGGTTTGCTACGCAATTCGGTGTTGAAAACAAATGACAATTTATGGAATGAATCGACCAAAGCACTGACTGTTGAAACGAACAGTCAGCCAACTGCTGCGCACTTTCCAAGCAACGCACAAAATTTGACACTTAGTGGTATTTTGATCAAGCCAGAATGTTTGCCATTCTTTACGTGGCACGAAAAAAGCTGTACGCCCGTGCAGAAGATGGTGATCGTCGTCTTAAGTATGCAGTAAGCATTTCAGTTGGTCTACTTCTGACTAGAGGAAGGTTATCATCAGAAGTGAAATTAAAATCATTCCTAAAAGCATATATGGTAGGGTTTAACTGGAAAGATTATCTTTGCGGTATGGTAGGCAGTCTTATGTATGTTAAGGATAATTTAAAGGTACGGAGATTTATAAAGCGTTTTAAAACCGGTCCAACTTTTAGTGTAGAAAGAATCTTAAATTCTGAAAAGTTTGACAGCTTCTTGAGCAATGCACTTCATTCATATGCATTTGAATGTCTGCAGTCATGATTTAACAAGATTATTTGTTGAGACAGACTGCAGTTTTGATAGCAAATAACTTTAGAACAGAAGAGCTAAAATCCTTGACTGATAGCACAATTCAGAGTCAAATTCAACTGAAACGCTGTAGAAAAATTGTTTAAGGAAAAAACAATTAGTTAAAATTAAAGATTTGCAGTGCGCAGTTTGAGAAATTTGGGAGATTATATGATAACGTCAGTGACAACAGCTGGTTCTTTCAATGAAGGTTAGATAAAAGTATGAAAAATAATCATGTCACAGTCTAATGCAACTGAGTACAAAATTTCACCTTCTGCGGTTTTCCATATCTTTAAAACACGACTGATTTTAGGTATTTCTTTCAAAATTAATGACTATTTCTTGCTCTATCAAAATAATTTGGACATCCAGTAAAATAATTTAATTTCGGGCCAGAAAGTGGTACACCAAATAAGAGAAGAAATGCATTACTTTGTTTTATGATTCTTATCGTAACTATATATACATATATGTACACATTTATTCATTTATTTATATAAATTGACGTTTAAAAATAAATCATTTCTTTTGTTCGCCAATCTGCACAAAATAAAATTGCTAAATAATTTTTAATTTTCTTATTTCTTCACTTTTTTGAAGGAAATAAAAATGAAGCTGAAAAGAACAAATTGGATTTTTTAAATTAAAAATGCGGCGTAGATTCGACAAACTTAGCAGTTTTTCAGATTTATTTCTATCTTAGCTTGCGCACAATTAAGTCCTATTTGTTCATGAAAGTCACAAATGCATATGTATGTGTATATATGTATTTGTTTGTGTGGGATATATTTGTATGTGTGTGTGTTCTGGAAGTTTTTCAAAGGAAAAGGAGTAACGACGTAAATGAAAAGCGCACTGATGAAAGGCACATATCACCTTTAACATCTATCTGTCTGTCTATTTACCTGTCTGTCTAAGTGTAATAGCTGATAACTGGTTTTACTCTAACCTTGCCTGCTTGTCTTCGGAGCCCATTGACGCGACGAGCTTTTTCCGGTAAAGAACCTCCCACTCCAGGTCGTAGACGTAGTTCCATTAGAAGTCACAACCAAATAGTCAGCTTGTATCCGCTTATTGCGCATTAATATATTTATAGGGCTTTACTCAATTTTTGAGGTTTACTAGTCTAAATTTGCTTAAAACCTGTTTTAGCGCTGCGGGTATACGATTGAGTTTCTGCTTACTGAATTATACTGCCATAATCTTAGCAGTATATAAATTTACACGTTCTTTTCCTTAGCAAAGCAGGTTACCCTCAGAGAGGTTTGAGATATCATTGAAGCAGTTGTTCTAGTGAGATATAACCATCATTTTTGCAATTGTGATTTCACCATATTTTTTCTGTTTTCCCTTCATACTAAGCTTAAGGATAGATTGACAAAATCAGTATACATTGTTTGTTTCAAATTTACATTATTTTTTTTTTTTGTTTGCACTCTGTATTTTCATTTTTTTTTTT